TAACGCCTGACCTCCATCTCTCACTGCAGCTTCCTGCTCCTGTTTTCCTGCTTGTGTTACTTTTTAAAGCACCGGATCAGATTTTAACGAGGCTTCTAACTGCTGAAGAGGAAGGTTAAGGCGATAAATTCATTCTCCGAAATTAGAAACTAGGATCTACTTGTTTTTATCTATGAAACATCTTAAAATATTCCCGGTAGTGTTGCACCAATGCCATTTTTTGGCCCCGATACTTGGCTGTGCAGTATTGGCCGATACTGATACCATCTGTTTGAAATTGATGTGTGTGTATATATGAAGAACTGCATTTTGTCAAGCTGCTGCCTACCTTTGTGAAGCAGGAAAAAGACTAATACAAAGTGAATCCAGTAGAATGTTTTAGACCAAAGTTTGTCCGGCGGTCCTTCCCGGTTTCTCTTGGGAGTCTCAAACTCTTTGCGTTCGTTCACATGTTTCGACTTCAAATGTTTGATCAGTTTGGAGGTATTGAAACTGCCCAGTTTAACGCCACCTCTCGAAACTTTCAGGTTGAAAATCTTGCATTTCGCCAATGTACTTGCTGGCGTTTCTATAACGCAAATACTTCCACACCGCAGACATTTTCTTCTCCTGGTTTGTTTTTCAACCGCATGAAAAAGCTGCCCTGGCATTGGTTAAGAGCAGATTTTGGCCCGCTCTCATTGGTCTGGAGCAGCCCAATAGTGATAGTTAACACTAGTGAGTGTCGGGAGAGAGAAGGTTGCGTTCACAATTGACATACAAACATCAAAATGGTATCGGTGCCCTATTTGTTAGTACTCGCCGATGCCGATACCACCATTTTAGTGCTGGATCCGGGCCCCACCCGATATCGTATCGGTATCAGTGCAACACTAATTCCCGGTTTTAAAAGTCAGACTTCTTAGCAAGGTAGAAACCTGAGCTGGATGGATCCTGATCTCAGCCTAAAACCTTTAAAAAATAAACAACCAAAATAAACTGAGATCAAAATTCTAATTAGGAACCCAGATACCGGGATTCTGGGTCCAAAACCCAAAGACCAGGAAAGAGAGCAGCCCTAGGAGGGAGGAGGTACCCTGAGCTGTAGGGGAGCCGGTGTTCTGTCAGATCAGCATACCCTGTCAGAACGGCATACCTATAGTCAATACGCACGCGCAAGACGTCAGATTAGCGTTTATCCCTTTAGTTTTTTATGAAAAATAGACTTTAAAATTCGTCAACTGACGTGTATCCCTTTAATCATGTACAAAAAATATATATGTAAGGTCAAATCGCCATGTGCTTCGAAGAACACCAAAAGGTAAGCAATTAAATAGTTTTTTTGTACATGACTAAAGGGATATATGCCCATTGAGGTAGTTTAAAGTCTATTTTTGGTACAAAACTAAAGGGATAAACAGGTACTGACTATGGGTATGCTGGTCTGACAGAACACTGGGGCCCTTTACTGGTCCCAGTTTAAGCTCCTCTACAGTTGATGGTTTCTGCCAACTCTAATTTATTCCATAGGATTAAAACCAGCCTGTGGAGAAATGTTCACGGTCTGGTCTTTTGTTTGGTTTTTCTTTTTCAAAATAAGACAAGAGAAAACCGAAACATAAAAAAAATATTATTTACCCTCTTTATTTCTGAGGCTGTGTCTGCCATTTTTAGCTTAAAGACACAAACCTCTAGTACCGGTAGATTAACCTTTTTTAATAATTTTAACCTGCAGCTGCTGCAATTACTTGTTTCTGGAACAACACAGACATCAATAGAAAATTAAACAACAGCTGGAAATTAGCTGGAAGGAAAACTAAACGCAGCAGATTTTTATTTATTTCAATATTTCATTTTGTTTGTATTTAGGTTTTAAAAACCAAAAAACTGAAAAATCAAACCCTTTTTTTTGTGATTTTGTTTTCAAATAGAAAAAACAAGGAAGGAACCGTACCTTAATTAGAAATGTTCAATATATTAAATAGATGATTTTTCTTTTTACTTTTTCTTTCAGCATCTTTATGCAGAAAGAAAAGGCAACTTTTTAGAGATTCTATATTTATACAGGATACATAGAGAACAACCACATCTGTGTGACATCACTGCTTAAAGAAAAACATCTGGTTTTCATTTTTCTAGGTTTTCTCTCATAACTCAGGGTCAAGCAGTGTCACCAGTTGGTTCTCAGTCTCTGGATGTGAACCCTGAGATGCATGGAGGCAAAAACACGTCAGGAAATACGTGAAAAGAGAAACAAACGAGATAAACAGCATAAAAGAAATGAACATTTATTAAATTAATGGAAAAGTCAGCAAAGAATGATCAACGGATCATACCTAAAACTAATAAGTTTGCTGTGATTTAAAGAATTTAGCGTAAATCAGTAAAAAAATTAAAATAATAATTCTGGGAGCGGCCATTTTTGCCCAAATATAGTAACCCCTCCCTCCTGCCATCTTCCAGCAGTGACATCACGGTGCGGTAAGCCTAGCGCCATTCTCCCCGCTTTACAAGCAAAATCAATGGGAACTACTAGACACATCTACAATCAACATATTTCACTTGGGTACATCTTGGTCCGGGCCATTATTGGAAGGAGGCCAGAATTAGAGGCAGGCCTCTATTTCTATTTGATCAGAACAGACTACCAGTGGAATGAATAAAAACGAGATTTTGTGTCCTATAAAATACTAGGTTAATTTATAGAAAAAGTACAGTTACCATAACGGTATACAGAACATTATTCAGAAATATACCAGCAGCTGTAATTTTTCTGCACGGTAATACGAAAAAAACAAAACAAAAAACAGAATGGAATCTTGGCCAAACAAGTTTACAAAAAAAAATTATGGTAACTGTTCTGCCATCACAGTGAAATTTTATTTGAGGCAGCCTAAGTGGAAGTAGGCTACCAGTATCATGTATTTAAAGGGAAATTCAGAACAACGACGGCGAACAAAATTCTGTCATTTTAACGCTGGCTGGTTACCACCAGACCTACCGGTAATCACATTTGTCTTTCAGATCTGAAAGATTGTGTAAGGCCACTACGATCTCTGTGTAAGGATGGGACTTCCCATGCTAGTGGCTCGGATTCGTTCGCAAACATCGCCCCCATGTGGTACTTGTATGTTACTATCACAAGTTGTTGAGGACTGTCCAGGAACATCGTTGGTTCTAATTATGGCCCCAGCCTATATACGAGTCCGACC